ATAAAAATCCAAGCCATAAAAATGACCTCACTTGCAGTTTGGAACGTGCTCCTCAACATCCTTCCAAAAGAAGATAAATGTGTGTGTGTTTAGGGGCTGAATGAAGACAGATACATAGAAGGGACAAGATTCAGAAGCAAAATAAATAATGGGCTACTTACCGCAACTTTGCTCCCAGTTATCTGCATGCAGCGATCAGCGGAGAAGGTTAATGTGCAAAAAGACACAAACAGCACAATCATTAGTAGGCCAGACAATCCTCTCCATTACACGTTGAGGCATTAGCGTAACTTGTGTGACATCACAAACATCCTCCAGACAATTATAGCACACACTCTACAACTAAAAATTTTAAAAGCCAACACGAGAACCTTTATAATTATGGGCACATACTGAAAATGGTGTCGGTGTTTGGCAGCTGCAATTTTCAAATTTTCAAATTGTTAATAAGACAGATGCATGAAAATGTGGATGAATGAAGCCATAAAGAAAATAAGGTAACAGCAACTGATTAATGTGATTAATCAACACGTTTAGATATGGCAATTTCCACACAAGGGATTTATTAAATGATTAACAAGGTAAAATATAATTGTCCTTCTAAATGACTGGTGTAGATTCATAGCTTCATCCCAAACAGAATTACAGTGGCTAATGTCACTAATGTTGGGCACCAGGTAGCTGGCAAAGCTACCTCGAGCCCATGCAGTCAACACGCTTCTTCGAGTTTAACTTTGTTATCTGTCAATAGTGGCAGGTAGCACAAGCGGTTTTTATTATGGCAACTGTGGGGCTTGTTTCACAGTAGGAGGGTGTCTGTCAGTCAAGTAAATGTATTCTATACTGTGGCTGAGCTTTTCTTTCTCTGTTTCCGAGGAAATGCATTTTGATTGCAGGAAGTTACAGGACACACTCCTTGTCTTGTCTCCTTTTCTTTTGCCTCCTTCTTTCTCTCCTGTTTTTACTCCATCCCATTCTCTCCCCCTGCTTCCATCTCTTCTAATCTCCCTTTCCATTTCTTTTATTGTCACTCTCAAACTCTCCAAGTCTCTGGCCATTTGATGCTTGATTTCCTCTCTCCATCCCTCTACCAAGAGTTTATGACAGCCATAAAGTCCATTTTACATGTGCTACCACCTGATCACGCACATACTACTTTCTAATCGTACTGTGTATCCACATTTCCCTTGCTCTCCAGTGAATGCAGCTTGTCACTGTCCACCACTGGGGAATATTCTATCTGAATACTGCAGGCTAGACATCCTGGAATGAGTCACCCAGACATAACTCACAACTTAGATATTTTCCACAGATGTTGTTGCCTACAACATTGGATACATATATTTGAATCTTGTTTTAGAGCAGCTTGACCAAAATAACAGACACTATCTTGAGCGTGCACAGACAACAGTCAGGGAGGAGCTCGAGGGGGGACAAGCACAAACAAGTTTGTATTTTCAATACAATGTAACACCTTGTTCTCACTAAAACAACAAAGAGGAGCAAAACTCCTTTATGTTCAGACCCCGACTAGTAATTTGAGTTATGCTTACTAATTACTTACTAATTAACGAGATCTGATTGAACATCTCTCACACTACAGTATAAATAAACTATGGACAAGTCACTGTGCACAAGTCTATAAATTTTCTTCTTAATACAAAATACATACTGATTGCATAAACACTCATCAATATGATAACACAGGGCCAAGATGATCTGAGAAAATATCAGGCCCCATTAAAAGAAGAAGGTGGCACATTGGTGGTCACATCAAACAAACTAGTATTTGAGTATAACTGCAATAATAACACTGGAATATCCCACTTCCAAGACCCTGCCATGATACCCTTGCTGCACCTGAGCAACATCACATTTAAAATGAAACAAAAAACATTCACTGTCAGTAGAAAGTCAATCAGAAATAAGTAAGTGTATTAGTGTTAAAGGAAATTTGGCAGTTTTAATGATGTTGGCACACATTTAAAGAAAGAAAAAGAAATGAGAGAAAAAGGCAACTCTTCATGCAAAGCTGATGGTCAAGGATGTCAACAGAGAAAAATGCTTTGACCTTTGTTTGAAAGGCCTATTTTAGAGTAAATAGTGAACGTCATAATCACCCTATTAATAATCATTTGAAGCTACATAGCTTCATAGAAATAGTGGTGTGTTAATATACATGATGAATATACATACAAGAAAGTTGTACATTGAGAAGGAAACCTCAAGCACCTAAAGCTACTGACTACAAGGTGCTGACATTTTCCTTTTTTGCTGCAGAAAAAAGGTTGCTTTTTGTTGGGTACCAAAGCCTTTGTTCAAGTGAGCAGGTCTGCAGAGACAGACAAGAAAAAGGCAAAGGATATTTGTTTTTCCACCAATATTTAGTGATTTAAACGTCCAGCTCCAGCATTAGGTTAAGAAAGAGGGCTGTCCAAATCTAAATCCACAAATTTGAGTATTATGTGGTCATGGGGAGCTTGTGACATTCATGAATGTCCCACTTGTAATTCTGTGGCTGTAATAAAATATGAGTTTAAAAACAGGAGGCTCCTGTAAGAGTAGTATAAAAATCACTATCTTGTCAAATGTTCTGTTGGGACCTAGAATACCATCTAGAAAGAAAGAAAAAAACAAAAAAATAGGCTATTGAGATGAATGCGTGTGAAACCCTTCCAAAGCCCCCAAAACTGCAGTCACACAATGGAGCATACATATTTGGTAGAAAAAGATTGAGTTACAGTGAAGGTACCACAGTAAAACCAGATGCCCCAAAATGTCAAAGATGCACCACTTCTACATTCATTACCATTTACATTTTAACTGCAACATAGTCTCATTTAGTCCACACATAATGCATGCTCATCAGCAACCACAAGCAACATTAGTCCCAGATAAAGCCTAACCCTGCAAGAGAAATACAATTAAGTAGTGGGATTTTTTAAACACATTTGTGCTCACACATGCATCCATGTAATACTTACTGTTATTGAAAAACAAAGCAGTTATTCAAAAGAGCAAAGCAATCACGAAACCCTGCCAAGACTGACTTGGGTAATCTAAATTTTAAACAAATGTCATACTTCTGATTTATTTGCTGACAATTTGTACTATGTGATAGTTTATACGTGGGCTTCTGTAGTTATGGGGACTCCCCTCACAATAAGACATTATAGAAACCCAAATCACTCTATTCAAAATACTACAGAGCACAGGATCACTATAAGGCACTTAATGCAACATTCTGACAAGCTGTAGGCTGGAATGATCCAGTTTCACTGACAGATTTCTCTCTTTACATCTATCAGTAGCTAAGAGGACCAGAGGATATCAATTTAGTTAAGACAGAAGTAAATTTTCTTAATACGTCCAATTAGATATGGTGTTACTGAAGTTACTTTATTAAAAACAAGTGAAAACATCTGCAGATGAGCAAACTTCACTTTCATTTTGTTTCAACTTTACATGGTTCATGAAATTCCTGAATTATCTTATACTCTTTAGGGTAGGTGGTTTGTTAAATTTTTTACTTAAGTAAAGTATTTCTGAGACTTGCTGTTGAGTTTGCTGTAGCAATCCCCTGATATACTTTTAGACTGATATAAATGGCCTGCACCTGTGTCTCTCATAGTTACTCAAATTGTTGTGCGTATAGTGTCTCTGACTGTGACAGAGATTTGGTAACAGTGTCACATTATTATCATACAAAAATGTGCCCTAAAATATTAAGTTCGAACTAAGTTGTTTTCTTAGTCTCTCATGTATTATCAGTATCTGACAGAGTTTGTCCATATAATGATGCTCTAGTGTATGCGCACTTCCTTGAGTCCAAGTATACACAGGTACATCATCACTGACATTCAACATTCCCCTCCTTCAGTGTTATTAAATGTGATAGCAGGGTACTGAAAGACATTGCATTTTGTCCTCTGTCCTTTGACTACACAGATTATGTTATTCATTTGAATAAAATATCAGTGCTCACAAAGCATAATGGGCCCTGTGAGGAATTCAATCATCTCAGATAATCATCATTATCAATAATGCCAGTTAATTACCATAACAATGAGGAAGCTAATAAATGATGATGTCAAGTGAGAGCTACCAGGTTTGGGAAGCAATGGGGGTAGAAATCCCTTTTTTTCTCAAGTGCTGATGTGAATTTCACCTCACAAGGTTGGCCATAACTTCAAAAGGGGATATGAGAATTTATCATACATTCATGCATTACCATCAGAATTCTTTATTTTTTACTGCTGTTTTTTGGATTAGAGTGATGATCAAGTTCTAGTTTAAATCTACAAGAATGGGCAACATTATCCAAAACCTATTATTAATAATCAATCCAAACACTTGGTTTGATAAGCACTCAGAACAAAGATAGTGAATGGTGCAGCCGGCTATAATGTAGCATTTTCATTATATAAACTTATCATAGGCTCATATTGAAAATAGGCTAAAAGGCTTGCTTTTCCTCACCTTTGCTTTGTGGTGGTTGTGTTTTTTTTACTGTAATACTGCTGTTGAACCAAGAGGTTGATTGAACTTTTACTTGAATGATGAGGGCACCACCACCACTGGGCAAAAGAAACTCCCATGCAAGTACACAACTGGACAACCAACAATTTGCATGCAAGCACATGACTGGACAAGCACTGACCATCCACCTAGCATTGAGTGAGTGAGTGAGTGACTACAATTTATATCTGGTGGCCTACAACGGCAGATTGTAGCACATTGGGAAAAACAATCAAGAAAATAAATCAAACTGCAATCAAAGATGTGGGACTCAAGCATGAAGAGCGGAGCGAGACAACAACAGAAGTGAGAGTGTGCAAGAACGGATGATAAAGCAAGCCGTAAAGCAGAGGATCAGGTTAAACTCATTCTGGAGAGTCGTGTGGAGTGTGTCATGATACTTCAGCTCATCCACTACAATTATACAGTACACACTCTTCAGTGAATAAAGATAGAGCACTTAGGTCTACTCTCTCACTTACAGATTTGGCAGTGGCTGAGATGTACTGGACCACCATCTCGCGTTTGGTGCTTAAGTCCTTTCCACGCAGAGGGGCTTTGCGTTCCTCGTTCAGGTTCATGTCCTCCTAGATACACACAGACAGTGAGGAGAATTTTTATGTAATGGTAGAGAATAAAATTGATAAAATTGTACAAAATAAACTTAAAAGGCAAATTAAGATTATTCTCTGATTAATCACGTATAAATGCTGCAACATGTATGCGTTATTACACAACAAATGTTGTGTATGCTGGTGACCAAACAGAAGTTGTACACTTAAACCTAATAGAACATGAAAAAAATTGCAGCATTTCAAAACCTTAAACTTTGACCAATGTTATTTACAGTAGTTAGGTTGGTAGAAATATTTCTTCTAACAACAATTGTACTTTCATTTCCGCTATAACCCTTTTACATCAGATCCTGTCCTTCTACCGTTGAATACATTTCTTTTCAATCTATGTTTCTTTGTCAAAGTCACGAACTACAGAAATAAGAAATAATGGCAGTAATAATTAGTCATTGAAATGAAAGTAGCAAGTCCACAGCAATATAAACTGTACACCCCAACTCCAAATAAGAGAGTAAAATCAAACAACACTGCTTCTATTAAAGCCATGCAATCACATCAGATAGGCTGGATAGGCAGTAGCTGCGTGTTATTGGGAGTATTATCTTCGTGCTACTTTAATTCTGCATCACAAAAGGGGTCTTTCATGTGAGAGACATCAGGGGATGAAGCGAAGGCCGGACAGAGCACTAAAAGCCAGGGAATGACATGATGATTAGAATGGAGGGGGATGTTTATCAGAAGCACTCTCTCACAAAGAGATGGCTAGAATGAACAGAGAGAAAAAAACATCCTCCTCAGGGTTTTAGGATGGTGAACCTAAAGTTGTGGAGCCATGCTGCCCTCTGCTGGGGAGAGCAGGAAATCATGTGTCTTTTAGTTTGGTTGCTCTAACTTGGCAGTGATTCCCCTCCATTCGATTTAATGCAAAATTCACCTGATAAATTAAGCATGTCACTTAAATAAGAACACTGTAAAACAATGGTTTGAATATCTTACCACAAGTAATCCAATTCAAACTGTTTTACTTCATTTGTCAGTGAAGCCTGGGCATGAATCCCATCCAGGGACACCATGACCTAATTTCCTCCAACTACATTTCCTCTAGTAAATACCCTTGGAGCTAAAATACTATTAACATCCTTTTTGTGGAACAAGGAGGAAAAAAATGTGGCTGAAAGTTTTACAATTGGCAGGTTTTTTCACCCAAGACAACCAGCAGGTTTTTTAATTAATCTTTGAACCCTGCTAATTTATCTGCTTAATTGGCATTCAATAAACGAGGCAAAATGTGGCAGGGAGAGTATATTGTAGGAGGGGCAGGAGTAGTGGGCCTGCGGGACACTTGTCAGGGGGCAAACTGGAGGAATGAGCCCTCTATGTTTAGTCTCTAAAATGATTAATGCTCTTTTATTAATTATACCCTCACAGGCTACATGAAAAGAGTCCCAGGATATCTGCGACTATGCTGCTGGTGTAACTAAAATGATGAGATCTGAGCTTGTATCAATGACATGGAGTTACCAAGAAATATGTTCCAAATCTTGTTGTCTGATGTTGGGGTCTGGCAAGCTATTCTCAGAGTTTTAATACTATGGTGGTGATAGTGCAGTGGATAAGACACATGCCTTTAGTGTGAGAGATGCAGGTTCAATTCCCACATGTGACACATACACTGATGTGTCCCTGAGCAAGATACATGCTCCAGAGGTGTGTGACCTCTGACATATATAGCAATTGTAAGTTGCTTTAGATAAAAGCGTCAGCTAATTGAATAAAAACATAAATATAATACTAACCAGTCACCACTTGCCTTGCTTATGGCAAAAGCTTCATTCTGCAATTCTTGGCAAAACAAGCATCATAGACATCAATTTTAGGAACACCATCCCTGTGGACCACTGTAGTGTATATGGTTGATAGTGGACATACAGTGGAGAAGTAGTAGGGCAGTGACACATTGTTTTCAATTCTTCTGACTCTACACTCCAGCACATTGGATTTGAAACGACACAATGGCTGAGGTTAATGAGCTGACTTTCAGCTTTAAGAGCACTTCACGGTGTCCACATCCCTATTGGTTGAACACAATGCAGCAGAATATTGATCCTAAATACAGCCAAAGCAACCAAGGACCTTTTAAAAGCCAAACAGTGTAATGTTCTTGACTGGCCAAGTCAGCGACTTCAGTCCAACTGAGCAGGTGTTTCTCTCACTAAAGACCAGCCAAAAACAAGCAATGAGTGAAGATGGCTCCATTACAGGCCTGGCAGCCAGGGAAGTTACCAAGCATATGCTGATGTTTGTGGATCATAGATTTCAGGAAGTCATTAACTGTTAAGGATTTGCAACCAAATATCAAATATGCTGACTTAATTTAAGCTCTTGCTTTGACCTATAATATGTTCCCCCAAATATGGGGGCCAATTTATAAAAAAAGTGAGCTGAAATTCCTACATGGTTTATCTAATGTAGAAGTAAGCATCCTCAAAATAAAACTGGAAGTAAGCACTTTAACTTGAGGGTGGTGATGGCGCATAGATAAGATGCTTGCCTTTGGTGGGGGAGACCTGGGTTCAATTCCCACCATTGTGTCCCTGAGCAAGACACTTAACCCCTAGTTGCACCAGAGGCGTGTGACCTCTGACATGTATAGCAATTGTAAGTTGCTTTGGATAAAAACGTCAGATAAATGTAACGTAACTTCATTGTTTTGTTTCATTAATTCCATTGGTAACTGTCTTTCTTTGGGACCCTGTTTTAAAAAAATGGGAAGATGGGAAGATATTCCTAAATCCTGCGGCACAATGTGGCTGCAAACACAGCCTAATCCAGAGTGCCACAGGCTTCACAGAAAAGAGTAATTAATGGTTACTATCAAATATGTCTGAGGCCAAAATGGATACGAAAAAGGGGATCTAAGAAGAGTAGAAGACATGTTAAAATGTTTTGATTTAACTGTGACAAATCGATTATTTTGTCCACCACCCTGAAGTCTGATCTGTGTGTGCAAGGGTACACACAGTAACTCTCCTGTGGGCTGGTTTTAATGTGAGTGTAACTGCTGAGGAATCACATAAGAGCTTATTACTAGGAGTGTTCATCCTGACAATGACGCATAGAGAGGCACATATAACCTCAGACTAGTCAAAGCAGCACTGCAATGTGACATTCTTCTTTCACTGGTCCTCTGTCTCTGCGAGCATCTCAATGCCATACACTTTTCTCGACAATGAGAAGACACTCTAGAAAATGGTAGTAGACAAACTGGCACTTTAATCAAGTCAATTCAATCAATCCTAAGTAAAGATGTCATGCTCTTGGAGATATTCATGCTGAAAGACAAGTAAAAGCACAGTTTGGGTAATAATGCTATGAGTACAAATGGCCACATCAGCAAAGATAAATCTATCTTTATGCAACAACTACTGACACAAAATGGTACCATCAGGGAAATTTTTTTGTTGGGAAGGAGAGGAAACGTCCATGTATCTGACCTCACCAGATATCTCACGTTTACTTTTCTTTCATGGTCCTTTTATTGACAATAAAGAGTTGAACTTATGGTGAAAGGGGCTTGCGCTACACTGCGTTGTAGTGTAAAGCTTTCACAACTTACTGAATGCTGATGAAATTAACTCACATGTTATTTTGTATGCTACTGTGTTCCGAGGCTGAACCGCTTGGTTTGGAGTCTACTGCTACTGCAACACAGCTGCCTCCTTAGTGAGATGCAAATACCGTACATTTCATCAGTGGATTTACTGGTGTGCATTTTGATAAGGGGCTCTGAATTCCAGCTGTGCACATCTTTGGAAATCCAACGACAAGACACACAGACTAAAGACACACTACACCCTTCTAAAAGCACTGCTGAAAGTACATGTTTTTTCACGCATTTTAAGTTTCCCTGCATTTTTATAAATATACTTGTGCTCTCAATGGTTAGCTTCAAAAATTATAGAAAGAGTTCATTTGGTTTTCCTCCCCACTGACAGAGTGTTTCTTCTATTTTCCCACATCCCTTTGATGACCTTTCAGTAATAGGCTATGTGCTATTTAGGCTTTGAGATACACAGCGCAGTGTGTAAACCACTTTCCAGAAAAAAAATATTTTCACTTTCTCCTAGTCATTAATTCACAGCAGGTGGTCTCAATAATATGGCATGGGTCATCCCCGCATTTGAAGCAAGCTAGACATCTAAGGCTGTAGCATGTAGTACCATAAAAACAATCAATAACGTAACGGGTATAAAGACAAGGAGACCAACTAAAATGTATGTGCGTATGATATAAAAAGAAATAGAGAGATGACACACATAGATGCTAAAGAGAAGCTACTAACATCAAAATAAACTACCAACCGCTGTCATTTCTGTTTGCTACATCAAAGCAGAAAAGTTCACAGTCTATGAGAGCAAATAGTGGTGGTTTCAAAAGTACATAAGTAAATAACCCTTTTCTTTTTGATTTCATTACTGTAATTACACTTCCCAACCCAAAGTGTCATGGCCTGTCAAATGTTAGCAGAGCAGCAAACATGCCTTCTGTGTCGTCTATCACTGAGCAAATTGAAGCCTGGGTTTAATGTCACGCCGCTGTGAGCACAAACATAGTAATTGAGAGGTGAACTGAGTGACAGGGATGAGCACCCAGGCAAGAAAACACTGAGCAGTAGCCTGATGAAAACCAGGAGCACTGGTCACATTTCTCTGGCCCTGGCAATAAAGACCATTGTAGGAGAAAAAAGGAAAGGCAGGCACCGTACCCCACACACACACACTCAGAGACATTACCCACAATAGTACACACAACCTATGCAATGAAGCCAAAGTAATTCAGCTCCCCACTTCAAAGAGATGGGCTGAAAGCTTTTTGTTAGATTTCAATCCTGCAGTACATAAGGCCAAAAATGCATTTCAATGGAGAAAATCAGAAGTGTGACAGAGCTTTGACCCCACAGATGAGTGCGAAGTGAATTTCAAAGTTTGGTTCTTCTGACAGTGGCCTAGGGAATACGTAGGTGGAGCCCTGCTTCACAAAAGCTTAACATCTGAACGCAAAATGCATTGATCTTGATCTTTACTATCAATACTGTACATATTTCAGTTATATTTAGGATAAAATGAATTTAAACTAGACACTGTAATTATGTAAAACAACATTATTTCTCCTTTCAAAAATGAAGCTTTGTATCACACATTTGAGAATTTATTTTACAGATAAAGTTCAGCTCCGTCTCTGATCACAGGTCTGTCTGTGTATGTGTGTGTGACTATAATCACACCTACTGGAGTTTTGTTTATGGATGCAGATGTTGCTACATCATATCCTGGTTTCAGATCTAAGGCGGTGCTACATTTTGGTAGAATTTTACCTATACCATGATATCTTGATAGGACAATTTATCAAGACAGATTATTTTAAAACAATCTGAAAAAAAAGAAATGCAGTTATTTCATTATCATTATTTTACATGCCTGGCAAAGTTTTGTTCACCAAAGCAGTAAAGCAATAAACTTTACTGCTTTAGTATGGAAATCTGAGGGGATTAATATATTGATATAAAAATGTTTTTCAAACTTAACTTTCTGCCCTGTCAAACTCCTCAAAACCAGCACTCGCAACAGACGCTCTGTTTCTCTACTTACCTCTTTGCACAGATTTATGAATCAATTTAAGATTTCATTATAGAATACTCATTATTTATTATTCTGTGGTAGCTGTAATAAAACTGTGGTGGAATGATGACCCTATGCAGGGGAAACTCAGCAAGAGAAATACAAAGCTCACCATCATCTTCTCAAAGAGGTCAATGATCTCCTTTTCCGAGAGGTTCATGGAGCGGTCGTCAAAAAGGGGCTGAGGAACAGGCAGTTCAGACTGGGTAGAGAGGGGATCTGTCGGGTGCTGTATAAGAAGCTTCTCCTTCTTCATCCCCGTTTTCCTGAAACTGGTAATCCGATCACGCTGAAAGAAAACAGAGTGTTTGAGATATTAAAATACTGCACCGCTAACAGTCCTGTTTAGACTAGGTCAAGCATAAGGCTCTTTGTTTTTGGTTATTGCGGATTTACATTGAAAGAAAACCTTATTTTCTTAAAAGAGTGTCTGTGACTCGACCATGTCCACACAAGTCAAAGAGTTTTTCTGTTTCCTGCTTTCAGAGAACACTGTCTCCCACGATTTACAGTTAAAACGGGATCATCTGATGGCGAGGAGAGTAATTCCAGACAAAATTTTGTATGGATTTTTTTTCTCGGTTTATTAACCCCCACCCTGGCTCTGTACTTTTTGGACACGTAAAACAGTCAGTCTCTATGTGAAGACAGTTAGGATAATTCAATTATAGCCTACAGATGGGCTACATCTCAGAAACAATACCGTTATTTAGCCTTATTAATATCTTCTCTCTAAAATCACAGAGGCTGTAGTACTCGCTGTATGAACGTAATGCTGTTGTGTTAAGAATAACGTAATTTCATCTGCAACCACAGTGGAACAAATCAGGATGAAATCTACTAAGTTACTCCTGGAGTTACCTGGATAAGCCTGTTACCTTGTTTCGAAGTACAGTCCAAAGAAGTCTATAGTCACACTGGTGAGACCATCAGAAAACAGAAATCTTAGAACAATGAATATTTGAGAAATACATTTTGCCACTACATTAAATTGCTCTTGACGGTCACGCAAATGGTTTTAGGCCATGTTGTCAAAAGGTTTCATAGAATATGAAGGTGATCTTAACCTTCGTATTTGGCCAGAAGGTGGTGGTAGAGGAACAGTCACTGAGGTAACTAACGATATTTTCCAGAAACATGGTCACCAAACTTCCCCGCAACCCTATACGCAGGATAAGCAGTTGACAATGGATGGATGGATGGATGGTCACCAAACTTGAGGACAATAAATTTGCTCATCAAATCACATGTCAGCATCACTGACGTGGCAATTCTTCGAATAGTGTCGGACCGCCAAACGGCTGATTTATTAAAATAAATTTTTTACTTGTTTAATATTCAAAACAAACACAGATAACTTTGCAACATACTGACGGCAAAAACCCATTTGACATAGTATCCTATAGGAACCTTATCAGGACTTTACTTACCTTCATACCCATAGGATTACCTGGTTTGTGCTCATGTTATTAAAATTATTTCAGCATACAACAACTTAAGCTTGCTTCCTATCTGTTAGGTTCCATGTTACTGTATATTCATCAGCTATTCTGATGAATGCAGTAAAGATTAGTGTGAAAGCAGAAGAAAATACATGAACAGCATGCAGCCAGTCAATGTTAGTCGTATTTAGTAAATTGGAATGGAGGACATGCTGGATGAATGAACATACAGAAATGAACTGGAAAGGCAAACATTAAGGTCATGACATAGATTATGTCACTATTATCAGTTTGCTGAAATATTACTGGATGGATCAAACATACTGTGTGCTAAGACTAAAACAGATAATTCCCGATAGCTGAAGTTGCATGCTGACATTGCAGTGTCAGTGTCAAAGATAGGCTATTTGTTTAATAAAGTATTAAAAAGGCCCCAGGCAGAAACATCTAGAAGAAGTAAATGAGACAAGTTTAAGCTTAGCCTTTGCGTTACTAGAAAGAAACAAAAAAAACTGTTATGCTGTAGATGTAACCTATCTTTAGTTTTATTATGTTCTGTTCGGTTAAAATATTAATTTCATTCATTTGCTTCTAGCACATTTGATCCATCCACATATTTAAGTTAAAAGTCCCATGCATCTATGACAATACATGAGATGATGTAAAACAAAAAAAGTCACAACGAAATTAAACCAAGCACCTTACCATATCATCAGCCAATGTTTTTATATGTATGTTCTGTTGAAGGGAGGGCACAGTGTGAAAAACAAGATCCAACAGAAAATGACAACACCGCCAAGAGCACAGTATGTATCCCATCTGAAGAGCATTCACATATACAGTGTCCTCTAGATAATGTCTCATGTTCCTCAGAATCCAATTAAATCTCCAATTAACAAATACACACACATCAGAGAAGACAAAGGACGTGGTGCTAAATGTCTGACCACAGCTATCATTGACCCATTCTCATTATAGGATTTTTTCTAAATGAGGATTTGAGCATATCTTGGATACTGCACATGTGGAGGATGTGAAAATACTTGATGATCCCAAATAATAGGGTTTTAATGTATGGAAACATAATTGTGTGTTCAAGAGAGAACATTCCAAGTGCACAAACTTAAAGAGAAATATCAAACAAATAAATTAAATTAGACATCATAAAGCACCTATAATCCCACATCTATATTAAAAAAATTATACACTTTCACAAGGAAATATGTTCCAGCCTGGCACAGTTAAACACCAAAAGGTTCTTTTATCTCTGTATGTGTTGTGAAGAGCATCTCTTGTAGTGACATTAGCCCAGGCACATCATTCTTGTTTCCTTACTGTTTATAAATTATAAATTCAAGTCAAAGAAATTCACAACTTTTTTCCTTCACAAAATGTTACAAATAGTAAATATAACAAAATTTCAGATGTTTATCTTCATCTCAGACACAATAAGACAGGCTCCTGCCAAAGGCTTGTGGCTCAGCAAGGGACAGCAGTTTGAAACACAACTCAAATGGGAAGCAGTAGCAACACTGCCATATGCTGTGACGCTAGGCTGTGAAGTACTAATGAGTAAGGAGATGTGGGGTGGTGATGCCCATAAAGTCTGCCTCCAGCCGCAGATTTTTCCACTAGTTTAATCAGGAAACTACTGATGCTGGGGCGAGCAAACAGACTGGCTCTAACCTGCACCTCCCTCTGTGCATCTTCATCAGCTGTCGCTGTGGGCAAAACTGAGCAGACACTCAAACAAACTCAACAATCTATCACCAGTTTTGTCTGCAACAACTGATCAACAGTTGGGAGATAAAGCTATGAACCACTGAAAACAAAGCTTGAGATTCAATCTCTATGTGCTAGCTCCATGTTTTGTCCAAGCTGTTATTTCAACTCCAGATAAAATGAATATATGTCATATTCATACATTATGCAGAGAGGGTTGTGCCAGGGGTATCAAGGTATTTGTTTCACCACTATTCGGGGCGTTACAATAGCCACACAAGTTGTCACAACATCTGTTAAGCTAAGAATTTGACCTGAGCAACAACTTTTCCCATTTCTAACTCAAGAGAGTATGCATCATTAAGCCCAGCATTCTCTTGCAGTCTAAAACTGCGTGAAACAATAGCTAATTTTCAAATGGAGTACTTAAACATTTTCTAATCAATTTAACAACAATCAAACCACTGTTTGGTTAATTGCCTTGACTTGAGGGCCTTTCCTTGCCCATTATCTTGGCAACATCGCAACAACGCAATTTAACATCAAACAATTAAGCTTGCTTGTCCTCTGGGCTTCTCCTGCTTATTAAAGTAAACTTTTTCATCATAATAAATGTTTATTACCAAACACATATTCCTCTAAATAACCTAATCAAATTAGCTCTGGGTCCCTCCTTAATCAAATATGATTATGACTCCATGCAGATCCTTAAAAATGAAAACACAAAGCAATATCCCACAACTTCAATTCGTCAATTTGGGGACACAAAACTATACCAGTATGCATATTTCACACAATAACTTTTTAAATTAACATTACAAACTACAATTAATGTTAATATTACATTTACTCATGTAGAGACATATCCTTCCATTGCTCATTACAAAATTCTACCAGGTGGCACATGAAATATATTTTCATTCAAGATGGACAAAGGACCAACTTTGTTTTAAATTGGCTACCATTGCACAGCTTTTTAATAGCAATGCCTGTTATTCCCAACCAATTTAACTAGACCATCTGTATGATGTCATTTTAACTCACTCACTGGAACTATCACTATAAAATCAGTAGCCACAATGCCTCTGTAAAACGAGTTTAGAAGAAAATTGGGTTTTACTTTAATTAGTTCTAATAATAACAAAGGATTACTGGGAGCCAGCCATGGTTGGCAGTGAAGACTGTAATGCAATGTGCTGCCGACAGTTCTTGGCAACTTCATGAAACTTCCTTGTGTCCCTGTTTAATCAACTGCTCGTGTCAGCTACAGGCTAGTAAGGTGTTAGCGGCACTCATAACTGGTTTCAGTGTGGCAAAGAAAATCTTGTTACTTGGAGAGAAAAAAAGCAACTTCCCAATGCTGATAGAAGAGCTGCGAGAAATTTAGGAAAATTGTGGACATTTGTAATTAGCGTTAGTAGCTCAGCTGTCAGGTTGGAAATTCTGTAAGTGTTCATTTATTTCATAAATTCGAAAGCTCCACATGTATATATATTTCCCCGAGCACAGCAACAACAATCAGGTGCTGGTAGATAGCGGGATGAGTCTAAGTGAGTTAATAAAGGCAGATCAGTGTGCGGTAGTTTGTTTTTTGACTTTTCATATATATATCTATATATATCTATAGATATATATACACACACACACACACACACACACATATATAGATATATAAGCAATAGTAGCTGACAATAGAGAGCTGTACACATACACATACGAGCTACAAGAAAAATAAAAGGAAAGTATAGTTGCTAGTATGGACAAGCATGTGACTTGTCAAACTGGTCACACAACAAGGGAGAGTTCAGTTTTTGTCCAAACAGTTGCATGGATACCCTGGTTTGCCAAATTGCCAGAGCTTGTAAACATGAAAACACCCTAAAGCATATGAAGAGAGACACGTCACTCAGTTTGTTGAAATATTACTGGACATGCACTGATCGCAACACAAGTTAAACTCCTAAAGCTTTCAAGCCAGACATCTACCAGTAAGCTGAAACAACAGAAGTGATAATACATTTTAAAAAACAGCTTACAATGCTTGAGTACATTAGAGGATTGGAGGGAAATTAGTACAAGTGAATCTGATGTACAGCAGGGGGATTGGTCTGTATGAGGGATAGCTGATACATGTCTTTACCTTACAAAATCACAGATCAGAAACAAATTTAGGATGGAAAAAAAAACAAAAACATAATGTCTTGTTGTCAATGTCTCTGAATTTTAGATGTTGCTCCTAAACATTTCAATAGGATGCACCAGAGCTCTCATCCCTGACAAATTGTAAATGGTTGCATTTAAATAATGCTTTTACCTAAAACTAGAGACGAGACACGATATTGGGTTTACGATCGAGACAAGATGAGATTTAACATTATTTTTAAGAAATCCTCAATGTTGATTTAGCCTATATGAAATGTTTCACAACAATTTATGTTGGAAATGTTTTTATTTACGTAAAAGGAAACACAAAATTCAGGTGAGGGTCACAATTCAAAATCTAAAACTATAACAGAATATAATGCATCAAAGCTCTCAGGCATCCTGTGTTGCTTTCAGATATGTTTCTCCTGTATATCATCCCTGTTGAGTCAACACACATGCAGGCGTGATTTAGTCTTCTCTCTTCTTTTGTGTCTTTGTTTGGAGAAGTAACCTCTTTAAGTGTGCATATGTCACCTCTATGAAAAATGAATTCTTATAAACTCCTGGACTTTAATAGCTCCTGTGTTTCAGAAGGTTTTCAGTTCATGTTCAAAACTTTCTGCACATTCGGAATATATCCCTCATATCTGTGTTCTCTGAAATCTCAAGAAAAAAGTCGTAATATTACGAGACTCACGTCATAATTCAATGATAATTAATAGTATTTTCCTACCAGCCCTATACTGTGCTTTGCATCAGGTTATTGCTCTGCTGGTAGTATCCCCTTCAGACCATTTGACAGAGACTGGGACTGTATGTTAAGATGAGACAAGGGTGTAGAAACAAAACTAACAGGCTACACCTCTGAACAGGCAGAAATATCACCACAAATTCACACAGGTGGGCTTAGCACTAGGGCTGAACGATTAATTGCATTTGTGATATTATCAAGATGTGGTAAAAATGAGATTTTCTACTTGCAAAGTCTGCGATTACACCCTGATCACATGACACCCAAGAGTCGAAGCATAAACTTCGCATGTTATGCTGTACCTTGACTTGTTGTCAGAAAGACACATGTAGTAAGCAGTGTTTCCCACACATAGGCTTTTCTTGGGCGGCCGGCCAGGTAGATTAACAGCCGCCCAAGTAAATTTGGCGACCCATTTTAAAATCGTTTTTGATTGCAGTGCTGTGCATATTCGCTCCGCATATCCTCTCACTCGGTTGTTCTCTCTCTCTCTTTCTCTCTCTCTCTCTCTCTCACAAACACTGACAACAGACCCGTCTGTGAATTGAATGGTTGATATCATAAACACCGCTGCACAAATCTGTCCAACACAACGCTGTCAATGTCGAAGAGCCATCTTAGCAAGCATGTAAGGATCCTAGCTAATAAGGATAGCTATGTTAACTTTTGATAACAGCTGTCAAAGTTAGCACGCTGTGTAACTGGTAGTCAACAGGTGCGTTCAAGATAACTGGCTGACTTTCGCCGACTTGATAGGGGAATAAAAACAGCTCCATCAAGTCACTGACGTTTTGCAGCGCAGGTGTTGTGCCGAATTCTGCATGCCTGCCATGAATTGCATAGGCACCTCGCGGGAGGTAACGCAAACTTCGGCAGGTAGCCTACAACATCCGTTTTGCCAAATTATGCATTCACGTATTAAGGTCCTTTTCAGACACTTTGCCGTTCACATTGTTTGAACGCAGTTAACTACCCGTTCACCGCTCACATGGGTCCTCCTCAGTCTTTCGTTCATTCTGCAGGCTGAGTGACTGCCAGCGTCGGAGAATGAGAGGCAGGTCGGCATAGCAAGCATAACATTATTACAGCGCAGTGATGTTGTGCTAACTTATAGTTTTAA